CCAGATTTTGGGTGTAACCCCCAGGATTTTGAGTGTAACTCCCCTGATTTTGGGTGTAACTCCCTGGATTTTGGGTGTAAATCCCGGGATTTTGGGTGTAACCCCCAGATTTTGGGTGTAACCCCCAGGATTTTGAGTGTAACTCCCCTGATTTTGGGTGTAACTCCCTGGATTTTGGGTGTAAATCCCGGGATTTTGGGTGTAACCCCCAGATTTTGGGTGTAACCCCCAGGATTTTGAGTGTAACTCCCCTGATTTTGGGTGTAACTCCCTGGATTTTGGGTGTAAATCCCGGGATTTTGGCTCTCACCGGTGCTGTTCTCCCCTCCGCCTGTCGCCGTCATCCTGGCCACGTGATCCACCCCGATCCTCTCGGCCTCCTCGGTGGCCAGCGTGTAGGGCAGCTCGGCAAACAGCATGGTGGCCTGGCGAAATTCCCAAAAATTCCCAAATTCCCGGAATTCCCGGCCCCGAAAACCCCCGGGGGAAAAATCCCCCGGGAAAAAAAGGCTCAAAACGGCCAAAAAATGAGAAAAACGGGGATGGGTTGGGGCTGAAATGGTTCAAAAATGGAAGAATTGGAGCCGAAATTCCCCAAAATTCCCAAATTCCCAAAATTCCCGCCTCAAAAATTCCCAGGGGGAAAAATCCCCCGGGAAAAAAAGGCTCAAAACGGCCAAAAAATGAGAAAAACGGGGATGGGTTTGGGCTGAAATGGGAGAAATTGGACCCAAAAATTCCCATCCTGAGAATTCCCACCCCAAAAATTCCCAAATTCCCAAAATTCCCGGCTCAAAAATTCCCAGGGGGAAAAATCCTGGGGAAAAAGGAGCTCGGGAAAGGCTCAGAGTGAACAAAAATCAATAAAAATCCATAAAAACGGGGATGGGTTTGGGCTGAAATGGTCCAAAAATGGAAGAATTGGAGCCGAAATTCCCCAAAATTCCCAAATTCCCAAAATTCCCGGCTCAAAAATTCCCAGGGGGAAAAATCCCGGGGAAAAAGGAGCTCGGGAAAGACTCAGAATGAACAAAAATCAACAAAAATTGGACTCAAAATATCCCCAAAAAACCCCAAAATCCCCCAAATTCCATAAAAAACCCCAAATTCCATAAAAAA